TAATTTGAGTTTCTAAACTTTTGATCTTTTATAAGGATGAGACATTTTAATAAAAATACTATCTCTTCTATATATTGATTATCTAAATTTAATTAATTTTTAATGTATATCTAAATTAAATATTTATTCTATTATATAATTCTAATTTTACAAAAAAATAATCATAAAATAAAATATATTATTACATTATAATATGAATGATTATTCTAATATATGAATTAACTATTTTTATTTTATTAAAAAATAATCATTAAATAAAAAATATTGATTATATTATAATATGAATTATCATTACAATTTTCAAACGTTATTATAAAGTCAAATTAAATTATTGATTTGAAATTTTAAATTAAATCATAATTAATCAGATCAGATCAGATCAAATCAGATCCAATCAGATCAGATCAGATCCAATCAGATCAGATCAGATTCAATCAGATCAGATCAGATCCAATCAGATCAGATCAGATCTAATCAGATCAGATCAGATTAGATCCAATCAGATCAGATCAGACAAGATCAGATCAGAACTTATTAGAATCAGATCAGATCAGAAAAAATAAGTTGAACGGAACGGAGCCTTAGTTGTCTAACATAACCAACTTGTCAAGTCTTTTACAAAAGGGCCTCATGGTTGGCTTTTAATTAGTCGGATTCAGTGTGAAATTTGTTTTTTTAGAAATCATTTGCTCTCTCTACCTGTGTCTTATAGATCTATCGCATTACATATATCTTCTCACATAAGTTAACTATTACGTAGTACTTCATAAAAAACTAATTATGTAAATGCATGTATTAATATTATGAGAAAATTTATGTAGTTATTAAGAAAGCCCACCTAAGAATTCACTCTAGCCATTGTCTCCTACAAACCTATATAGGATTTCTTGTACCGCTTCTTGTACGGAGTACTAATCATACGCAACTGTTTAAAAAATATTTAGTACTCCGTAATATATTTAACCAATCACAAACGATCGATTTACCGTACACATAATGGTATAATTTGTCGTTAAAGATTTCATCCTCAAAAATCCCATCAAAACCTTGAACCAAACGCTCCTTTACTCCTCTTGGAGCAGCTACTTTTAGCATTATGAATTCTAAAATATAGTATCGGTTCAAATATACTTTCTTAGTTTATTAAAGAAAAAAATTAAGGTTACCACTAGGATTGGAAGAAAGAGTCAACCAAATATGCAGCACGGGCCATTATTTACTCATTTCGTCATGAGATAATCATCTCACTTGGACTTTACAAACTTCTAGAAAAATGTTGAAAAGTAAAAAATGGATAGTTAAAATTTAATTAGAGAAAAAGAAAAATGTTGTGAACTAGGTACATGTTTTTATGGAATACTTTATTAGAAAAAAAGATAATTATTTTGATACGGAATAAAAAAGAAAATGAAATGAAAAATTCATAAGAGGGAGTATAATTGATGGCCCAAGTAAAGTAAGTGCTTCATCAACCTCTATCATTCTCTAGTTTTAAATCAGGAGTAAATTTCACAAATGGTACCTGAACTTTAGCTGGAATTTCGAAGTGGTACCTGAACTTCAAATCCTTTCACAAAAATCCCTGAACTTACACAATCCTTTCACTAATGAGCCATTAGCCCGTTTCTAGGTTAACTTCCGGTCATTAGGGCCAAATTCGAATTTTATATATTTTAAAATTTTCAATTTGACCCCATTTCTTCTTTTCTTTTCTTCCACGCCCCGCCGCCGCCGCCTGCCGGTCAAAGTCGCCGGAAAATGAACTTTTTCCGATTCCGGCGGGACCAAT